TCCACAGGGAGTCCCCGCCATCTCTGGCTATGTCAAAGTCCAAAGGTCACCCACACACCCAGTTTTCATCTCACCAAGGGCTAAGCCCACCGCTGCATGACTGTGGTGTGAGGCCTGTTCAGTCTGCCGGCTACTTAGGATACCAGCTCCGTGCCCTCAGTACTGCTGCAGACATGGAGTGGGCCAGGCAGGCTTATTTTGCAGCCGAGACTCCACAGGCCCAGATTTGTGGAGAGGGAGGCCGAGGAGGCACCGTGGTATTGATGTGGCCCTCTGGCTCTGCTGATGCTCACAGAACAATTCACTGCCATCAAGGGCTGGTGCTGATTCTCCTTTGAAATCGCTCAGCACTGTCTGCAGGACCATGTGGACCACACACTTCCTTGGCAGAGCCCCTGGGTGGTACTTCCAAGCTGTGCCAGTAGTGGCAGGAGGCCGGGTTTTAAGAATCCGAACCAAGAAAACATGCGCTGTCTGCCTTCCCACTCATGGCACCGGCCCAGGAGGCCTCGGCGTCGGTGAGTGTTTCTCTGTCGCCTTCCAGCCGGAAGCCAAGTGAAGCCCAGGAGCTGGGCCAACACCCACTGCAGGTCCAGAGTTGATCAATAACTACTTTGCTTCTGGCCTTGGCTTCCTCAGCCTTTGTCTGCCTGGGAAGACCGGGGCTGAAGGAGGGGAATGGGCACTCCAGGCTGGTGGCTGGCATCCTCCTGCCCAGCTGATCCTTGTTCTCTAATTAAAGCCCGCATCCTGTCGTTGTTACCAAAATCCAGCTGATTTTTAGAACTCTGAAGCCACAGCTGCAGTGTGCCCTGGGCCTCAGAGTCTGACGAAACATCCTCATGTGCCCAGCACCCTGGTATTGTCCACCTGGCCTGCTGGAGCCACATGGACTTCTCAGGATGTGGCAGGCCACATAGTGTGCTGCCATGGGTGCCAGCGCGAGTTCAGGGACACTCAGGCATTCAGTGTTCGACCTGTGGCTTGCATGGCCCTCGGCAGAACCCAGGAACTTGGCAGCAACGGTTCTTAAACCGTGGGCCTGGATCCATTGGCAGGTGGCGAAATCAATTTCCTGGGTTGCGATCAACGTTGCTTTTTTAAATCGACTGGAGTGGAGGAGAGGGCGCAGTGGGAAATGGCGCAGTCTACTTCGTCCCTGCAGCCTTGGTTTCCGGTGTAAACTGCGCGTCTGAGTGTGTGGGTGGGAAGTGGACCTCTCTGAGCCCTGGTCCGAAGATCTCCAAGTCCCATCTCCAAAGCCATGGCAGGGGTGTGCAGTGGCCCCTCAAGGGGTGGGCCATAGTGTGGCTCAGTCCAACTGCAATGCCCAGGTTGGCAAGTGCTAGGGTTTCTTTGTAAGTGTGCATGTATGTTCATGTGTGTGCAAACACATGTGGAGGCCAGAGAACAATGTTTGATGCTGTTCTTCAGGCTATGTGCACTTTTTTCCCCCACCATGTAGCTGTGGGTGGCCTTGAACTCACAGAGATCTGCCTGCCTCTGCCTCTGTGCTGGGATTAAAGGCATGTGCCACCATGTCCAGTTTATAGCTTTTTTTTTTTTTTTAATTTGAGAATTTTTTAAATTCAAGCTTGCCAAGTAGGAAAGATCAGCCATCCAGCCCCAGGGATCCACTGTCTCTGCCTCCCCAGTGTGTGCCCTCACACTTGGCTTGGCTTTGTGTATGTGTGTGTGTACACGTGCACAGTGCATTCACATGGATGTATGAGTGTGCATGCCAGTGCCTGTGATGCCGAGGCCAGAGAAGGACACTCACTCTATTGCCTCCCACATTACTGCCTCAAGGCAGGAGCCCTCCCTGAACCGGAAGCTTCTTTCTCCTAGGCTGGCTGGCCACTAAGCTCCGGGAACCCCCCTGTCTCTGTCCCCTCCAACACAGTGACTAAAGATGCATAGAGCTATGCCCAGTTTGTTACATGGGTGTTGGGGATTTGAACCCAGGCCCTAGGCTTGGAAGGCAAGCAACTTTGAACGGATCTGTTTCCCTAGGCCAACACTATGGTTTCTTCAGGGCCAAATCTAACAAGAATGTTGGCCATTCTTAATTTGGGTGTCTCTTTGCTGGGTAGAAAAGAAGCGAGAGGCCCTGGTGGGCCCAGATGTGTGCGTCTGCCCCAGATGGACATTCAGGTGGAGCCCGTGGTGGGCAGTGGAACAGCTGAGGCAGTGGTAGAGAGGCTGGGGATGTGGGTGGCTGCCTTGCTACCGTCTCAGCTTCCGCCTTCCATGACAGACGAACGCGGAAGAAACACAGAGCCCATCTGTGCTGGAGGAGGGGTTTGGGGAATGGCAGGTGCCATGGAGGGAAACGGTGGGCTCCGCACCATCTGACCTGTGGCCTGGACTCTTTTCTGTGCCCTTTAGGGTTCGGGAAAGGCAGGATCGGGCCAAGCTCAGGAACTACAGCTCGGGACTGTGAGGCCCTTGCAGTGTGTCCGAAGAGCAGGCTGGGCCCAGCCCACAGCTCTGAGCTCTTTGGGGATGGGGCGCAGAACTGGGGGGCTCCATCTAGAAACCTCAGTGGTCCCTCAGCCTTCCAGGAGGAGCTCAGCTGGCCCCCCAGTGCGTTAAACTGCACTGCCTGCAGCCAGAGCTGGGCCTGGCTGCCTGTGGGAGGCGCTGTTTCCTCTCTGACATCCCTCTCCACACCAGGCCTCTCTCTTTAGTCTCCACTAGGGTTTCAGCCCCCGGGGGTAGGGGGGCTGGAAGCCTGGCACCCCACTTCCTATTTCACATTGGGCAAGGCACTAGAAGGGTGTCCTCTGTGGAGGTTCTGGGTTCGGAGCTTTCTGTGAGGGGTAAGGAGGAAGGACGGAGCTGGACTACACAGGGCCGTCTCCCCCCCAGGAAGCCGCATTTCTCTGTGCAGGGCCACTCTGTCTCTGCTCTGTGTCCTGTGCGTGGTGGGGGGAGTCTCCCGCACACCAGCTCTTCTCTGAGGGCAGAGTCTGGACCTTGCGCTGTGGACTGAGTTTCCCCAGAGACACTGGCTGGGACTGTGTGTGTATGAAAGGGTGGCAGCAGACATGTGCACAGGGGGTAGGTGGGGAGGAGACTTGTGGGGCTGGCTTTCGGAAGAGAGCAGGGACGGAAGGAGAGGGGGCAAGGAGACTGGCCAGGCCCACAGTGCTCACGGTCATCCGGCTAGCCCTGACTGCACCCCTCCTGGGCACCAGGCTCCGGGCATGCTGCCAGCCATGCCCATGTCACAGGTGAGGGCTATGCTACCCCAGGCTGCCGTGGAGCAGCCAGCTTCTGGAGTCCGGACCCTTAGCAACTCAGCTCCTCCACTTGACCTAGCTGTGGCCCCCGGGTGGGGGCCTTAGGGCCCCGGGGAGGAGGTGGGTCTGCCAGGGGCTTCCAGCCCCCTGCTCCTGCTGATCTCCACCTCCTCCAACAGAAGAAGCAGGCTCAGGCTGCCTGCCGCCTTCGCCTTCCGGAGGGCCTAAGCTTCTGCCAGGATTAAGCCTTTCAAAGGGCGCGTGCTCAGGGTCCCAATGCGCGGCCGTCAATACGGCTCTCCACACCGCTCAGATCTCCCCGGCCTTATCGAACTTCCTTCCATCCAGCGAGTCCCTCCTGAGGACTTGAAGTTTCAGGGCAGGACCAGGAGGTCGGGGCAGTAGAAAAAAAAAAGTGTCATCTTCCCCCCAGCCCGTGACGTCAGAGCTGCCCAACTGCCTGTGACTGACGTGTCCCCGGGGACCTGGTGCATCTCGCGAGCAGACGCCGCTGCTCCGCCCGTGCACCCGGGCGGTTCCGAGCTGCCGGAACCGGGCTGCTTAGTAATGAAAGTGGCAGCCAGAGCTCTGACATCAGACGCAGACACAGATGGAAGCAGTGGGCGCTGCCTCTGCAAATGAGCAGGAAAAGGCTTGTTAAACAGAAAGGCGGCGTGGGCCAGGCGGCCCCGAACGGGACTGTCAGCGATCTCGTGTAAATACCCGTCAGCTCGGCCGGGACCAGCACCGCACTCATTTCAAGGCAATTTAACCAATGGGACTCCACACTCCCAAATCGAGAATGTTATTAAAAAGAACAGGCGGCTGGGCGGCTGGTTGGTACCCGAGTCACTCGGAAGCCTGCTCTGGGCTCCCGGGCATCCCTGGAGAAGTAGCTTGGATTCAGGGCCCCCAGGCCACACCCCTGGGTTCTGCCAGGAGTGTGTGATTTGGGGAGAGGAGCTGTGTGAGAGGTGGGAATCTGGAGATCAAGTCTAAGGTGAGAGAGAGGTTGTTTAAAAACCTGAGAATGGACTGCACATGGCAGTGTGTGCCTATAATTCTAGCATTTGGGAGGCTGAGGCAGGAGGGTTGCTGTAGGCTGCACAGTGAGTTCCAGGACAGATGAATGCAAAGTAAGACCCTGTCTCAAAAATAAACAAAACAAACAACAACGCCTATAAAAACCCCAAGCACATGCCCATCCCCTCTCCCATTTCTAACTTTCTTTGACTCTTAGTTGAGACGGCATTTCATGAAGCCCAAATTGACCTTGGATTTTTAGTGTAGCCACAGATGAGTGAACTCCTGCTCTTCCTGCCTCTGCCTCCTAGTGCGGTGCCACCAAGCCTGGCTTACACAGAGACAAAACCCAGAGCTCACCCAGGCCTGCCACCCCCTGAGCCACAGCCACAGCCTCAGGCTCCTGGAAGGGCTCAGCCTACCCTCCCACGGCAGAAGTGGGCGGGGCCTGGGAGCTGAGCTGCCCCGCCCACCGTGGTGACTCCTTGGTGTGGGGGACATTCCTGGGCTCTGTGGTGGGTCAGTCAGTCCTGCCTCTGGCCAACACGAGCTCCTGAGACCCTGATCTGCTCCAAGCCCCAAAGCCAGGAGCTGTTGAGGGAAGTGGAAGTCCTGGTCCCCACCCCACCCACCCCGTCCCCACGGGCGGCCTGTGGGGAAGGGCGGGAGCCCAGGGTCTGGAGTCCGGAGGCGGAGGCGGTGGGCTCCCATGCTCTACCCTTCTCCTTGCAGGTGTTTCAGCGCCGGGAGGACGGCTCCGTGAACTTCTTCCGAGGCTGGGAGGCATACCGGGAAGGCTTTGGCAAGCTCACCGGGGAGCACTGGCTGGGTAAGTGTCCCCGCGGCGCTGGGTGCACTCCATATCTGCCCCTCCTTGCCTTTTTGTAAATGGTTCCATCCCAGTCTCAGGAGGTTCAAGTGATGAAGACCATGAGAACAGAGCCAACTGAAGAGCACTATACAAGCGGGTCTGTGGGCAGGAGCTGTTAAATAGGACGGGAAGCCTGGGTGGAGTGGCCCTAGCACCCAGAGGCAGGAGGACCCCGGTTCCAGGCCAGCCAGACGACATAATTTAAGGCCAGACTGAGCTCTGTAGTTCAAGACCAGCAAGAGAAATAAAAACAAAACCTACTCATGATGGTTCATGCTTGTAACCCCAGCACTAGAGAGGCTGAGGCAGGAGGATTGCTACAAGTTTGAGTCCAGGCTGGTGTGCATAGGATTTCCAGTCTAGACGGTGCTGCATATTAAGACCCTGTCTCAAAACAATAGTAACAATAAACCAAAATGCCAGGGAGAGAAGTCAGCAGATAAAGGCACTTGCCCCCAAACCTAATCATGGTAGTTCAGTTCCCAGGACTCCCACGTAGAAGAGACCTGGTCCCACGAGTTGTCCTTTGATCTCCAAGTGCGTGCGGAGATGCAGACTAAACAAACGGGACGCTGGGATGGGGAAGAGAGAAGAGGCTGACGGGGGATGCCCAGGTCCCCAGTCCCCCGCACACCAGGTGGGAAGGGCTGTCCCAGTGACGCTAGGTCAGAAGCAGGGGCCCCTGACCTGTCTGGGGACCACCTAGGAGCCCCTGCAGTCTTGGGTCACTCCAGCTGTGGTGGGTGTCAGGAGGCCTGGGATAACGGAGGCGTCGCCCCGCCCTCAGGGCCAGCAGTGGTCATGCTGGGCGGGCATGCCGAGTGTGCAGCCCCAGGGCATGGCCAGTCCACCCGGCACTGTGGTCTCCTTGCACCTCTCAGGGGCCGAGATCCTGGGTGGAGGGTCATTGGTGCACAGTGGCTGTCACTGACCCCCTGGGGTGTGGAGGCAGGCCCCATGGCAGATTGGGGGAAGATAGGTGCTCATAAGTCAGCAGCGTGCTGTCCTAGGGCATCAGCTAAGACCGCGTTCCTTGACCGGGGGTCTAGAAGGGCAGGACCCGCCCCATCCTGGTGTCATGAGGAGAGGCCCCACACCATTTGGACCATGGTCAGAGTTTACTGAGAGCTCACGTCACACATCCGTCCCCGGGACCTTACACCAGCTAGGAGGTCGGTCCTGTTCCCATCACCCCCTTCTACAGACAGGAGGCGGGGCCACAAGTCCCATTGGATGTGCTGGGTCTGGGGAGCCCAGGCGGCTCCATGGGAAGGAATGTGGCATGCTCGATGATATTGTAGGAGAAGGCGCTGCGAACAAGGACGGTAGGAAATTCCTCCTCACCCACCCCAAGGCAGATACGTGAAGGCAACCGTGGTGGCAGCCAGTGAGAGGCCCCGCGCCCGCTTCCCACCCAAAAGCTTGGATCAGGGTTGGCGCCTCACTGCTCGGTGGCATCTTAATTGAAATCTATCAGCAGCTGCAGAAGGTGGGGAGGAAGCATTTAAGCAAGGCTTTGATTAGCTCCGCAGAGGAGAGGAGCCCTGACAAGAATGTCAACTGTGAGGTTCTCAGCCTCTCCGTGGCCTCACCTCTGCTTTTCTACCCCCTCGTCTCCGTCTCACTGGGGGCTTCCTCTGTTCCTATTGACTCACAGATGCTCTTTATATACTGTGGATACACACCACACGCTTGCTTTCATTGATTTACCGCTTAGCTTTCCTCCACTATGGTTTATCTCCTGAAATTTTAGTTTTTGTTTGTGTATGTGGGAGTGGGTGCGTGCGTGGTGTGTGCGCGCTTGTGTGTGTGTGCTTGTGTGTGTGTGCTTGTGTGTGCGCGCTTGTGTGTGCGTGTTTGTGTGTGCACGCTTGTGTGTGTGTGTGTGCTTGTGTGTGTGTGTGTGTGTGTGTGTGTGTGCTTGTGTGTGGGCTAGAGGTTGACCTCAGGTATCATTCCTCAGGCACTATTTACCATGTTTTTTTAAATTTCATTGATTTGTTCTGTTTTGTATTTTTAATTTATTTGTTGCCATTTATTGTGTGTGTATATGTGTGTGCACATGTGTGTACCATGATGTGTGTGTGTGTGAGATGATAACTTATGGGCGTTAGATCCCTCCGCTGTATAGAGGATTGAACTTGGGCCGTCAGGCTTGGCGCCCAGCACCTTACCACAGAGCCATCTACCCGGCCCTTCATGTTTTTGTGCTGTGTCTTAGATTCAGTTCTTTGAGCCTTGGAATCCCTGGGGGTGACTGTGTGTGGTGTAGGGTCCTCTGTCACTGAGGGACAACCGGGCTGCAGGGCAGCTCCCAACCCATTGTTTAGGGATCAGAGACATGGCAGGCAGAAATCCGGCGGTGGCGAGAGCTGGAGCTTCCTAAAGATGGAAGGAGGCCGAGGAAGTGACGGGAGAGAGCACAGAGACAGACGAGTCTCAGAGGCCCCGGCCACTGCCAGGCAACTTGCCCAGCAGCCTCAGCGCAGGCACCAGGAAGGTGCGCCCAGCTGTGGTCTTTGGGCCCTGGTGACCATGTAAAATGGGAAGGGGCATCTCTCAGTAACCCCTGGGGCTGTGTCCATCATACCCTATTCCTGGGACATTTCCTGGATAAGGACTGAAGAAAAGTAAGAATCTGGGCCCTTCTGCCTGGGTTCAAATCCCAGCTCTGCTGCCTGCCGGCTGTGTGATCTGGCCAGGTGACTCCACCTCTCTGAGCCTTCCTTCTCCGCCCATCCATCAGGGGGTCACTGTGCCGGCCTGGCTGCGTCCTTCCCCAGCACCAGCAGGTTCTGTGCAGCGGGCTCCGTCACCGGCCATGCTGAGGCTCTGTAATTAATCATCTTCTGGTGTTGCCTGATTGGTCACTGTGCAGAAGGTGCTTAGCATGGTGCCCGGCTTCCAGGTGGGGGCTGTTGTCAACGTCACCTGCTGCCTGCACATCTGTCCATCAGCCCTGTTCACACAACAGGTGTGCAAGCCATGCCCCCGAGAGAGAGCAGCTTGCCTTGATGCTACCAGCCCAGGCGGGGAGGCGGGATGTGGTGGGATTGCCTGTTCTCACAGCTCTGGAACCCCACATCCTCCGGGTCTCTGGGTTGAACTGAGTCGGCAGCTCTGAGTGGGGTGCAGGGGGACAGGGATCCCGGGATGGGCTGTAGGCTGCCTGGCAGAGGAGACCAGGGCTGAGCAGGGAAGGTCCACAAAGCTTCTGCGCACACAGTAACCCAAATACTCGCCTACGGGGAGGGGCTGATGGAACACTATAGGCGCTGGGAACCTGTGAGGCGTTTAATTAAATGCCCTCTTAATCAAGAGTTGATCGTGAAGGCAGGGAAGTGCCCTGTTTGTGAGACCCTGGGATGGCCCAAGGGCCGACGAGCAGGGACATGGGAGGGAGGAACAGAGGCAGGGAGGAAGGGGTGGGGTGGTAGGGGCGTGCAGAACCAGGACCTGGGGACGCAGGGGATGCAGGCACCACCTTCGCTCTGTGAACTGAGAAATATTTATTGAGCACATGTCATACCCGGTCCCAGGGTGCCAGCCGGGGTCGCAGCAAACACTGACTGCAGAGTTGTGTTTAGGGAACTGAACTGGCAGGGAAATTCGCAAGGAACCAGCCAGAACCAGAATGATGAATGTTGAGAAGAAAGGGTCGGCATGGGAGGCCAGCCACCTTCCCAAGGCTGAACAGAGGGGTAACAGGTGATGAGGGATAAGTAGAGAAGTTTGCAAAGGCACAAAGGCCCGGCATCTGAACTTCAGGTTCTGAACATCTCTCTACCAGCTGTCACCCTGAGACACCTACAATGGGGGGAGGCTGTAGGGATGGCTCAGTCAGTAAAGAGGACCTGAATCTGGACCCCCACGCCCATGTAGAACACGAGGAGCCATGGCACGTCCCTGTCATCCTAGCGCTGAGGAGGTAGAGGCCGGTGGGGGTCGCTGGAGCTCTCTGGCCAGGCAGCCTAGCTGAGCTCCAGGCTCAGCGAGAGACCCCGTCCCAAACGTAAGGTGGAGAGGGACAGGGGACACTCGACACTGATACAGGTGCATGAGATGCCAACACACGCTTCGCTTGGAGAGCACAGCCCGACATAAAGTGAACACAAAAAACCAGACGTGACAACTTAAGTCTCCTGCTTCTGCCAAAATCACTCCTGCAGAGGGAAGGCAGTGGCTCAGAGCACATGCTTGGCAGGTGTCAGGAGCGCAGGCTCCGTTTGCGTGGGAGGGGTACCCCCCGGATCCCTTGACTTCCTCCATCTTTTCCCCCTCCTCAGGGCTCAAGCGGCTCCACGCCCTGACCACGCAAGCAGCCTATGAGCTTCACGTGGACCTGGAAGACTTCGACAATGGCACTGCCTACGCCCACTATGGGAGCTTTGGCGTGGGCTTGTTCTCGGTGGACCCCGAGGAGGATGGGTACCCACTCACGGTGGCCGACTACTCGGGCACTGCAGGTGAGGCTCACGGAGCAGCAGGGAGCGCTGGCCAGAGGGCTAAGCCCCTCGGACCTCGGGGGTCAGGGTCTAGGCCACCAGTCCTGTCGGGTCAGGAAGCTGGGAGGAGGGTGGAGGCAGCCGGGACCCAGAACAGCCAGAGGGTGCGCACGTGGCTGGGGGTTGGCAGGTGAGCGGCCGGGCCCAGCCGCACATGCGCACCAGGCTCACACGGTTGGTGGACAGTGTTCTGGGGCCCGTGCACACCTCTGCCCAGGGGTTCACCCCGTGTGCACCTGCCACGCAGGTGACTCCCTCCTAAAGCACAGTGGGATGAGGTTCACCACCAAGGACCGCGACGGCGACCACTCGGAGAACAACTGCGCCGCCTTCTACCGAGGGGCCTGGTGGTACCGCAACTGCCACACGTCCAACCTCAACGGCCAGTACCTGCGTGGTCCTCATGCCTCCTACGCTGACGGCGTCGAGTGGTCCTCCTGGACTGGTTGGCAGTATTCACTCAAGTTCTCGGAGATGAAGATCCGGCCGGTCCGGGAGGACCGCTAGACTGGCACCCTGCCCATCCCTAGTGTCCTCTGGCTATGTCCAGTCCCCACACATCTCACCCCATGCCCGCCCCATGCAAGAACATTCTCTGCCCACCTGTGCATGGCTGACCTGCTCTTCTTTAGGGGTGGCTTAGGGCCAGCCCTCAAATTCAGCTCCCGGAGCCAGTGACAACCCCTTTGCAACTAGGTCCCTATTTATCAGCTGACGTGATCTCGTTTCTACCAGCGGGACCGGCACCTGGCAACCCCAAATCCCACTTGCCCCAACTTTGGTCCCTAGGCTGTGTCTGCTGCCTCCTGGCAGGGCAGCAACCCCCCACTTTTCCTGGCTTTGTGAGACCATCGAGAGTAGGGGTCAAACCACTCCGGACCTCTCCTGCAGATCAAGGCTCAGGCCTTCTGACACCTGCCCGCCCGCCCTAGCCCACTGCCTCACCCCACCTCTCAGACACCCCGAATAGCTGGGGCTGAGCATTGCCTGGTCATGTCACCTTGTGGGCAACTGGCCTGAGACACAGCTGTCTGCAGAGCTCCAAACCCCAAGGCTGAGGCCAGCCCCCTAGGCTGCCCTTCCCTGGGCCTCCGCAGACCTGAGAGGTTTCTGTCCTGGCTGCTTTCAAATTTCATCTGCTTTTTCCCACTCAAGCGAGGTCTACCTGGCCTCCTGCATGGCGGCCATGGCGGCTGCCCCACTTCACGTGCCTCTGGGGCGGGGTGGGACTGGCCTAAGCTAATGAGACCCTCTTGGGGCGGGGCTACACGAGGCTGTAGTGCTCCGCTAACCCCCGTGGACTGCCTCTAGAATCCTCCTGGAAGCCAGAGAGTAGAAGCAAGCAAGCCCTGGGACTCAGCATGGCCCAAAGCTGCCATCTCTGCAGAGAGGCTGCCCCCTACTGGTGATGATGGGTACTGCCATCAGGACCTAACGGGGCAGGGGACTGAGGCAGGTTGGGCATCGGGACCTGCCCTCCACCATTGCCCCCTACAGGTGATCTCCCAGGAAGTCAGGCCGCAGCCCCGCCCTCAGCTGTGGGAAGCCTATGGGAGCTTTGAAAAGGCTGGAAGGTAGGATGGCCCTGGTGACCTCTGGTAGGAGGGCAGGCAGGCAGGCAGGCAGGGGCCCGTCCTTTCCTTCCCTCAGACCTGTAGCAATGCCTGAAGCCCACTGATGGACAGTGCTACCCGCTCAGTCCCCCACGCTGGGCCTCAGGTCCTCAGTACTGGACAAGACCAGTTGTTACTTAGTCGGTCCCCAGCTGGTGGCAAGGAACGTGGTTCCAGTCCAGAGTAGCCAGGGTTCTGATGGGACAAGGGACACACAGGGAAGTCCCCTCTCACTCCCTATCTGTCCCCCACTCCTGGCAGACACTGCCACCCCTGAGGCCGCCGCTGAAGTCGCTTCTGCCGCCAGCCGCCTCCGTCAGCGCGGCTCAGAAGTGCCGAAGCTTTCTGATGTGTCATCAAACAAACTCCTGTGAGTGTGATGTTAACGGATTCACAGATGCCAGTGTGCGGCAGGCGGCCTGGGCTCCGGGCCAGGGCTGGGCTGCAGAACACAGGGCAGCTGGTGGACAGGTGAGGGGTGACATGCCTTCCCGTCTGGTCACACCAGAGCCCTTCAGACCAGCCACTGCTCCCGGGACACCAAGCCCTCCCCAGGCCAGGCTGGTGCTCCAGAGTGTGGCTTCGCCAAACTGGCTGAGTGGGCTCCAAGTCCCTCAGCGTGGCGAGAGGCCAGCCCGACAGCCCTGCCTTCACCCTGAGTGTGCACTCCCAAAGGCAGATGGGAGCCTGTCCCTCCACACTGGGTCACAGCCTCCAGCCCTGGCTTGAGGAGTTCGCTGGTCTGATGTCTGTGCAAGATGGCTGTCGTCTGTGATCAGAGTGCCCACAGGAAGCAGGAATGCTGGGAAAACTTTGGGGGGTCAGGTTAGGTCCAGAACTACTTTGGTTTGACAATGGAATTGTTAAATTGACCCGAGTGAGTCCCATGATGTCACTTGGCCAAGCCACACTGCTCTCCTTCTGGGGCAGGGTCTCCATGCCCCACACTAGGGTCTTGGCAAACCATCAAAACTTCTCTCCAAGCGCAAGCTGGCTCCGTGGATTCCACCGAAGGCCTCAAAACTGGCTACACCTGTGTCATGCCAACGCCAGCTAGCCAGCGTGCAGTGAGTGGACAGCCTTGGTTCCCTTGCGAGCCTGAGCCTGTGAGAGATCAGGTTAGAGCCGTGTGCCTCTCCTGTGACGTCAGCGGCTCATGTGAGTGGGGCACTCGTGTTTGTGGGCAGAGGTGGCGTCACCGGTGGCCATCTCTTCCCTGCCTCCTCATCCTTGTCACCTCAAGCCTGTGGGTGGAATACGGGAGTCTGTGGCCATGGTCACTGTAGGTCCTGGCCCCCGAGGAGCACTCCTGGGAGAGAGCAGGGCCTTGGATGACCAGAAAGTGTGAACAACAGTGTGACCTTCCAGCTCCAGCCCAGATGTCTTGGCCCTGGGGCAGGAGATGTGGACAAGGGGCAAGGTCAATGACCATGGCTGCCCTGATCCCCGTCCTGTGATCTGAGGAGCAACATCCTGGCAGAGACTCATGGAGCTCAGAACTGTGGTGAAGCGACATTGAGCCAGTGGTCTGGGGGCCTTGGAGAGCCTCAGTTCTTCATCCGCCTCTGGGGAAGGCTGCCGGCCGGCTGCTGTGATGGCCCAACCATTGGCGGGATCCATAAACCCAGAGGCCTGGAGTCAGGCTGCTGTGGAACTGGGGTGGGGGAGGGGTCCATGCTGAGGCCAGCTGTGATTAGTAGGGCAGGTGTGCATGCCGGTGGGTCCGACCGGGCCCTGGGGCTGGGGAGGAGCTCCGAGGGTCAGCGAAACAGCCCCATGGGCAAAAGGTGTGGGGCAGTTGCGACTTCGGGCGGTGTGCAGTTGGTGTCCTGTATGTCCCTGTCTCCAATAAAGTCTTGTGGTGACCCTGCTCCAGCACTCACCCATGGTCCTGCCCCACTCCATGTCACAGCAGAGCTTAGGAGACAGACACCAGTGTTCTGGGACCGCTCCGCTCCACTCAGGCGTGGCTCTGTGCTCGCTCTCAATGAGTTACTGGCTGAGCAGAGACAGCCAGGCCTGGCGAGCGGCGAGGGTCAAGCCTGCTTTCTGCATCCAGCAGGGCTGGTCTGGAGTCTGGATCTCGTGGATTCACCTAGGCCGGCTCACTCTAGGCATGCCTCTGGTGTCTCTCGGTGGTGAATCGTCCCTACAGGGGATGGGTCCTGGGGTTCTGAGGAGCTGATACTCCGAGGAACTAATTAACAGTCATTTATTCCTCAAATCAACTTGATGCTTCAACTTGAGGCCCAAGTTATCTCATGAAAGGCGGTGTTGATTGGGTGCCCATGTTGGAGGAAGCGCATGGATGGAGGGAGAGAGCAGCCTGGGGGCAGCTGGAGAGGCATCCACCAGGTCCCACTTTCTCCACCACATCCTCATCGTCCTGTCCACTAGGCAGCTCATTTTGGGTACAGGGCTGGAGGGACAGAGTTGGGGTGCCTCAGGACTCCTGAGCCAGGACAGAGAAGCCCACGATGATTGTGTCCACCTGCCTCCCCGTGGGGGCACACCGTCTAGGTGGGGGCACACCGTCTAGGTGGGGGAATTGCCCGTCTAGCCTGTTCCCTGACACCATGAAGCCACTGCGTGATGCTTCCCTCAGCTGGACCACTCTGGCTGCGGCTCCAAGAGCCATCTGGATAGGTCATACTGACCCAGTCTCACGGAGCTTTCCAGAGCTATCCAGGGGCTTGGGGACACGCCACCAACAAGGCACAGTGCTGAGGGAAGAGAGCTCCTCAGGGCTCTGTGAGGAGACTGGAGAGGGCCTGAGTGGTGGTGAATGCCTGTGGGGTGGGCACCCTGCTGGTCATGGCTCATTGGGTGCACATGACCTCATGACATGAGGACTGCTGGGACATTATCAACTTCAGAGGTTCCGGGCTGCCTGAGATCATAGCTGGATGGACTTCCAGGCTGGGTCCTATTCCGAGAGGAATCGTGTGGCTAAATTCAGATGAAGCCAAGAGCCCGAGGGCTGGATCAGTGCCTGGGAGGGCACAGCCCAGACTGGCTGCCAGGAAGATGCCCATTCACATCCAGTCCCAGCCCTCACTCTATGAGAAGCAAGGACAGGTCCACAAGCCAGGCTGTAGGTGATCTCAGATGAGAGGGTTGGAGCTCTGTGCCCTCAGGACTGTAACCCAGGGAGCCTTAGAACCTTCTGGAAAGTTGCATCCTGCTCTGCTCAGCCTCTGACCTTGATGAGGCCTGTGCTGCTGGATGACACTTGTATGCACCCTCAGCTCCAGCCTCCACACTGCCCTGGGTAGGGCTGGTAAGGTCGGTGATGGCAGACAGAGACTGAAGAAACAGGGGCTCAGGAATCAGAGAGACAGACACAGGCAAGAGCCCAGGATGTGTGCCTGGAAAGTGCTCTGGGAGTCTGGCCGGGCCTCAGAGCCAAGACTTTGACTAACTCAAACATCTGTGCTCGCTTCCTGGCCTGAGGGGCATGGCATGACATGGGAAACCAGTCTGAGCTGAGGAACAGGTTGGCCACCAGGGGACCTGTCTACAAAGGGTTCCAACCTGCCACACAGCTGCTGAAGCCTCAACTGGAGGTTGGGGACATTGACATTGGTCACCAGAGATTGCACTGAGTAGCGGCTCTGGAATGGGCAGTGGCCAGACACCCGTGGGCAGCTTCCAGAGGGTGTATTTGGGAAAAGCAGGGTGTCGTGGAGGTCACTGTGAGAACAGCACCCAGACATGGACTCAGCAGAACAGAAGCCATGCTGTGTGGTGAGGGGTGGCGGTGACAATCGCCATGTCCTCACAGCACACCTCACCACCTGCCCTATGCCTTTGCCAAGGTCCACGCCTAGCTACCGTGATGCCCTGTCTCCGGGCCACCGTGACAGCTACTGGGGAGGTGGGTGTGATCACACTCAGTTGGGGTTCAGAAGGGCGGGCCCTGTGGCTTTATGTCAGGATGGGTAGCCAAATCTGGGGTCTGGATAGACATTAGGTAGAGCCCAGCCATAGGGCTGGATGGTCCGAGAGACAGAGCGCACTCTCTGTGGGACAGACTAACAGTGCTGTTAGAGCTGAAGCCAGAGAGGAGCCTGCTTAGTTCTGGGTCCGTCCCCTGCATCCCTCTGAAGCAAGAATTCCTGTACAGTTTCACCTCTCCTAAGGCTCCAGAGAGGCTGTCTCACACACCAGAACCTCCTACGGAGGGACTGGTGTCTGTGACCCTCCAGCCCCCACAGAGTGAGAAAGGTGCCTCTACCCCCTCTGGAGGGAGGACCACAGGGCAGCACCGTCAGGGGTCTCAAGGGCGGGCACCGATGTCTCCAGCCAGGGTCTGCCGGGTCTATGTCCACAGCTCATGGGTAATGATGCCCTCTCCAAAGGGCAGTGCCTGCCATTTTTATCAGGCCACATCCTGTTTACATTGTGTCTTTGTCCTTGGCCCACACGGCCCCCGCCTTCACCACCAGCAACCCCAAAGGAATCCTAGGCCCAGGAATGCAGAGCAATCAGGCAGGCTGGGGCCATGACACCAGGGATCTGCATAAAGCAGGGAGACCCCAGGGCCATGCCTCCTGGACCAGGACCCACGCAGCTCTGCCTGGCATTGGGGCCCTCCTGAGAAGCAGCCCACAGCACAGTGAGTACAGCAGGGCACTCTAGGATGGGCTCTCCGGGTGAGCTGGGTGCAGGCAGGCACAGCAGGACCCACACAGCGGGCAGGGTGGGTTGTGGGAGACCCCCAGATCCATCCTATGGGAAAGTCCCACCGATGCAGGTCAGCCCTAGCTGCCAGCTAGGAAGCATTTATCTCCGAGGATAAAGAATATTCCTCGGTCCTCACGCACTCCATAGGAAGGAGGGGGCGATGCCTGCCTGTCCCCTGTGGGCCTGAGGAAGGCCCTTAGCAGCAGCAGGCTGGAGGCTACTCCAGCCCCTGGGGACCAGGGGGCTTAGCAAGCTGGATTTGGGTAGGAAGCTGGGCTGCTTTTGTTGTTGTTTTTGAAGCTTTCTGGCTGAGCTCACTTCTTTGAAATGTTTTCAAGGGAGCTGTTTCTGGAAAGAACGCCTCTTCCCCTGCTCCTATTCCAGCTTCAGGGGGCTCCTCAGAGGATGAGCCAGCCTAGTCCGGCTCACCCATGGTCATTGCAAAACAGACTTCCTCTGTGAGGGAGGGAGATAGTTCCCAACAGGGCAGAGGTGAGGGGGGACCCAGGGACAGTGGGAGAGCTATGGGATGCAGAGCATTGAGGGTACCTTGAACTTGGCTCCCTCCCTCATGAGGCTGTAGGATCGAGGGCAAACCCTGTGCCTCTGAGCCCGAGGAATGTCAATGGTGGGCTGGATGGTTGTGTGCAGGAGGCCAACATTTCCTAGAGGCCTGGTGCACCAAGAAGCCACATGGACATTAGACCCCTGCGCCCACACTCTGTATGGCCAGGTGCAGTTTGCTAGACAGACTTCCTGTGAAGATGAGCCCGTTCATGTGGGTACTCTTTAGCTCGGAGCCTGTCCTGTCCAGTGAGCTCAGCGGGTGCTGGCTGTCCCCAGCCTTGTCACTGGCTCCCCCCAGGTAGGTGACCATTTCCCCCTCCCAGGAGCAGCTTGTCCCCGAGTTAGGGAGACAGTGGGGGTTCCCAGCAGACCAACTAGACCTATTCATTATCAAGTTGAAAACACGACTGCTTCTCACTCTGCCCACGGCCCCAGAGTCAATAATTATAATAGAAAATTGAACCCGAATGCACACAGCCCTCAGGGCCACCCGGGTACCTCTGCAAGCCAGCTGGCAGCCGTGGTATTCTAGTACTGAGCCACGAAGGCAGGCAGCTCCTCGGCTGCAGGTGAGTGAGAACAAGCCTAATTGGCCCAGCCAGCTCCTGCGGTGGCTAAGAACGGCTGGTCTCCAAGGCTAAGCTGAGCCCTCAGCTGTCCCTCCGAAGGCTGCCAGGCCTTGGGAAACCGGGGGCCAGGGCCTGCATGTGACCAGATGCTGGCCACTAACCCCTCCTCTTCCTCCTCCGCTCAGATGAGGGGCCTCCGCTCTTTGCTCTACCTCCTCCTCCTGCCGCTGAGCGCCTGCCTTCCCCGGCTGGACACGAGGGGACCCACAGACGTCGGTGACATCGGAGCCAGGACGAGCTGGGCCCACCTGGCTGAGGGACGCGGACCCCACTCAGTGCGAGGTCCTTCCCCGTGGCCGAGAGCACCCCAGCCACAGGCCCTGTTTGTGGTGGCCAAGGAAGTGCAGGCCTTCGGCGGGGACCACACCGGCTTCCGCCTCGGGAGGAGGGATGGGAGCAGCGAGGAGGCTGCCGGGTTCCTGCCCTCGGACTCGGAGAAGGCCAGCGGCCCCCTGGGGACCCTGGCCGAGGAGCTCAGCAGCTTCATCCGGAGGAAAGGGGGCTTCAGCTTTCGCTTTGGCCGGTGAGGGCCTCTGTGGACTCTGCCTGTCTTCTCTCTGTGGCCACCGTGTCCCCCCACCCCACTCCCCGAACCCCAAGGACCCAGGCCTGGAGGGAGCAAAGGCCTATCATAATGAATGAGTGGCAGATAGATGTGTGCTCGACTTTTCATTCCCAACTTTGCTGAAGTGAAAAACTTGGGTGGTGTTTTGAAAAACAAAAACAAATGAACAATCACCCCTCCCACCCCCACACACACACACAGGAGAAGAGCGAATGTGTCGTGGTTAGTAAGACTAAGAGTCCTTGTCCCAACCCATGACTCGGGCTGCTCTGTCTCAGCCCCCTCTCCCCATGGTCTGACTGGAGCAGCCCGCGGCCCCCAGGGGCAGGGCACTGGGCTGTGAATACAACAGGTCTGGTTCTGTTGTTCCTCGGATGGCAGGTGGGCTGAGAGATTACAACAGGAGATCAAAGTTCTGACAGTGCCCCGGGGACGCTGGTGGCTGCCATCTGAAGCACCACTGTGGAAGAGCACACTCCACTGTGTATAGAATGTGGGTCTGAAAGGTACAAATGAAGGGGAAAAAACAGCCGTCCAAACCCAAACCCAAGACAGAGCGTGTGCTCTCCACCCCATTAGCACAAGTTGCCTCTGGCAAGGAAGCCCTGCAGTGGGCGGCAGCGGCACCAAGCTGCCCTTCCGATGGACTGGACGGCCCATCCCCTCTAGCAGCCCGTCCCCTCTGGCGGCTGGCCTCGTCCATGGTAGTGTTTGCCAAGGGCCTCATGGGAACTGAACTCGTGGAAGGGATGATTTTCTGCTAAGCAAGGTTGAGTTTCAAATACCAAAAACTAGGACTGTGCTGTGTGTATCTTGAAATAAAAGTAACAACCGCAGCATCATAATGGAATGCCGGCCTCCTCCTTCCAGGTCCTCTGGGCCTCAGAAACTTTTCTTGAGCTCTTGGAGCCTTCACTTTGGGGAGATGGAAATCAGGCTGTCTGTACCCCGTATACCTCTCCTACTAGCCCCTTAATTGGCAGCTGGGTGAAGGTACAGGGAGATACGGCACAGGCTGTTTCCTCTTCACTCTCCTGTTCCTTACCTATGTTTCTTAGAATAAGCAGTGTGTGGGGGGGCTGACATCTCCACCTGGAGGGGGGGCTCAGTCTGGGCTGTGTGCAGCCTGGGGCCAGGCAGAGCATCCCTTTCAAAGGCTGCTGAGTCTCCTACATCCCATCCCAGGTCAGACACACCCGTCAGAAGCAGCTCACTCCAGGGCTGGCTGTGACTGCTGAGATGAGGACTTATATTGATGTTTCCATGGCAACATCTCCCCTCCTCCTTGCCAGTGGCGGCTTGCCCCTGTTCACAATTGAATAATTTTCCATTGAGCTGTCACAATTAATTGGTAGATTTTTATTAGCCTTTTAGAACCACACTGGGCCAGGCCCAGCTTGGCCCCTCACAGTATTCCGGTGTTTTCCGTTCTATTGGTGACTTACGTCCCCAGTAGCAGCTCTCAGTCCTCAGCATCCAGGAAGCCACTTCATTAAGGCTGACAGATCGGAGCCACAAGAGAACTATGTTGACTGGGGGGCAGGGCTGGGAGGTGAGGTGAGGAAGGGGGCCAGAACCAGACACCCGGCACTGGTACACAGCCATCCCCAGGGCCCACACGAGGCTCCCCTGGGCCTTGCACGTGTGTCCTAGGCTGCAGTCACAGGGACAAGGCGAGGGCCCCAGAATCTGCGAGGCACATTGCTCTACTTCCCACCTCACAGGAGGACGTGACTGAGGGTGTGTCCAGCAAAGGGATGCGGCTGCTCCTGTTAGTGGGACATGATGGGCACTGACACACTCCCTGGGTCCGTGTCTCTGAAGACACTCCTGAGACACAGGCGACTGTGGTCCCACCCAGTTCCCTTAGCCACCGGGGATGCCCACCCGGCTTCTGTGGGGCGCTAGCCTGGCTCAATCCCTCCCCGGGCTCATTTGTACACATAGGAGACAGGCTGAGACAGCCAGACCACCAGCCGGGGCAGAGGGGGCCCTGGCAGGGCCCCGGTCCTCCTCTTCACTCTTCAGGTGGTCTACTGCCCGCGAGGCCGAGTGACCTGCGCACCCTCACTCCGTGGCTCGGTGCTGGCACTCCGGCTCCAGTGCCGTGCATGGCAGACAAGCGCTCTACCCGCGAGCTGCATCTCAAGCATGGCAGGCTCTTAATTTAGCAGGATTAGATTAACCATGATGGAGAAGACTGGGAGGAAGGGGGAGACCTTCAAAGGAATGAATCTGCTGTCATTACCTTTAATCATTAAAAGAACCAACAAAGCTATTTTTTTTCCAGTTTGCTTGTACATTGGAGCTCAATAGCGCTGAAAATCAGAATACTCAGACTGCTAACGCATTGATCTGTTAAACCAGCTCGCCTATATGGTGCTAAACTCCCTCTTTAACCCCTGCCCCCAAGTTTCCCACGCTCTGGCAAGGTCGAGGCCCTCTTCTGTCCTCTTGGGAACCAGGAAATCGCTCCTCTCCAGACTGGGGAGGGAGAGGCTCTGGGAAACATCTACCCCGAGGCAGACTCAGCCCCAGGCTGCCCACCCGCTGGCCTGGCACCTCTGACTCTCAACCCGAGAGCTGTCTGTAGCTACTCACTGTATTTATTCAAGACACAAACAAGAGCCAGGCGTATGGTGCGGGCTTATAATCCCCATCCTCCGGAGGCTGAAGCTGGAGGATCAGAAGTTCAAGGCCAGTTTTGGTTCCAGAGTGAGACGGAGGCCAGCCTGGACTAATGAACAAAAAATGAAAGAAAAAGGCCAATCTTCCCTATGGTGTGCACATCTACAGGTTATTAGCTGCTAAGATGTGTGGAAAATGTCTGTCCATATTTCCTTATGTTTGGAATACTATTTAAATGCTTAAGGAAGGAAAAAGAGGGGTTGGGGATTTAGCTCAGTGGTAGGGCTAGGCAAGCGCAAGGCCCTGGGTTCGGTCCTCAGCTCCGGGGGGAGGGGGATAAAAAAAGAAAGGCCAAGGACAGCTAGCTGCCCGTCCTCACTCGCTCCAGTACCAGAGACAACAGAAGATCCACAGACCCCAACCTTGAGTTTCTGGTCACCCTGTGCTCATGGTCTGTAGGCACAAGTCTCAAAGCTCCCGGGGAAACAGAATCCGAGAGGTGTCTGACTGCGGAATCGACATTAGCTGGACCAGGATCTGGGCAAGAGGCTAGGTCAGGGATGAAGGCAGTACCAGTGATGGGGGGTGGTGGTGGCTGGGGGTGCTTGTTTTGCCTGGCCTCACTTAATGTCATCTGTGCAAACCCAGACTTAGAAATGACTTCCCAGGGGGCTGACAGCGCAGTAAGGTGCTTGCCATGTGAGCAGGAGGACCTGAGTTCAAATCCGCAGCACCCACACACGCTGGGTGCATGTCTCTCATGGGCAGAGTGAATGGTAGTAACTGAAGAAGAGACAGGTCCCTGGAGCTCACTGGCCGGCTAGCCTAGCCAACTGGTGAGCCTCAGGTTCAACAAGGACCATCTCAAAAATACATTGGTGACTAAGGAAGACACTTAACATTGACATCTATCTTACAAGCACGCACGCACGCGGAGCGGGGGGGAGTGGCAGATGGGGGGGGGGGGGGGGGGGGGGGGGCGGGGGGCTGGTGGAAGGCGGGACGACGACGACAACAACAGACATGGACTTCCCTAGAACACTGGAGTGGGTCAGCATTGATTTAGATCTGGGCCTGTGAGGCCAGGCCAACCAGCTTACCTTTATAGGTCGCAGCCTGGAAGGTCCTCCACCGGGCAGGATGCAGCCATCTGTATTGTCTACAGACTCCCTGACCTACCTGGTGGGCACATGCAGTGTGGCCTTAGCCAAGCTGCTTCACCTCTCTGAGCTTCAGCTACTCTACACCTCAGAGGACGGCGCCAGACCTCAGAGGGACGCTGCAGACATCCCATGTGGCAGCAAGAGGACTGTCTCTGCGCACAGGCACTTCCAGAATAGGTGCCTATTCCAAGTGTCGGGACACCCAGCAGCCAGCAGCGGCTGCAGCTGGGCCTGACGTGCAGCGACCTTTCTGCACCCGAACCCCAATGCCAACAGCGCGGTTACTAACTTCACCTCTGTGGGCAGAAGTCTGTCACTTCTGCTTCCCTTCTGATCTTGTGTACATACTCCCAGGTGCACGCACATTCCCCACAGTGCACACGTGGAGGTCTGAGGACAGCTGGCCCAGTCGGTTTTCTCTGTCCACCACGTGGGTCCCAGGGATGGAGCTCGGGTCGCCAGGCTTGGCAGCGGGTGTTTTGCCCTCGGAGCCATCTTGCTGGCATGTGCAGAGGAGCATTTCTCTGGGCAACGCACAGCTATTAGATTCCAGGGAGCATCTGTGATCTAAGGTCAAGAAGGCCGGTCTTAGAAATGACTAAGTTTCAGGTACACATTAGGACCTTGAGAGATAGAAGTATTTTATGCCCTGGGCCGAGGTGACCTATCTCACCCCTGTGGCCTTACATGAAACACTGGGAAAACAGGCCAGTCGTACTAGCCTGAGGCCATGGGGAGGACCCTGAGATGTAGGGGCGTGCCAGGGAGGAGTCACCCTGCCAGCAAGAATCTCAGGAGCTTATGTCTCTCCTACTCCAGGGCCGACACAGGACACTGCCACCTGCTGCAAGGCTGACGAGAGCTGGGCAACTATGTGCCAGGGACAAATACCCAGACATCCTGTTCATGGACGGCAGCCACTATACTGCTTTATGACAGCCAAATGTGCGGCGACCCTTTGGGACATGACGCGTAGCAGGGATGAATCACAGATCAAGCAATCCGTCAATAGTTCTGTAAACACGTATTTATTTAAAAAATACTACAGAGAGATTTGGATTCAAAAACACAGAGTCATATACAGAAACAAAATGTACTGACAGAAAAAAGGGGGATGTCACTGGTGTGCCAGAGGGGCACAGTGGCAACCTATTTACATGTCATTTATAAGAGAGCAAGTCTATTTTAAAAAGTGTAATACCAAAGTATAATGTAAAATATAGTGGCACATCATGTCAGCAACGACAGACTGGTACCTTGTGAACGTGGTTTCAGAGTACGGGGGTGTCTGGCTTTTCAAGGCCGCTGGCAGTGTGGCACCGCCTCCCCCGGGCTGCAGAAGGGCCACTGGAGGCAAGGAGGTGATGTGCTATGAGGACCATGGAGAACACCCCAGAGGAAGTCATCTCTACAGAAAAACACAAGCCGAGTCTAGGTGATGAGTGTGGGACTGGGGCCAGCACAGTGCAGCCAAGTGGAGAGGCAGGAGTGTGGTGCTGTCTCGCCTGGCCCAGCGCAAGGCCTAGGCAGGCGCCCCGCTCTTCAGCTGGCTGCTCTGGGTCACAGTCAAGGAGACACACGCCTGTCTCTCTGCTCAGCTCTGGTCCTGGCTGCTGGGGAAGGCTAAGCCTGCGAAGTATACCCCGCCCCCAGCCTGTGCTGTGGTGCGCCTCCGGGAGCACCAGGCGAAGCACTGTTCTCGGTGCTTAAGCAGCAGCAGTTCTGGGGAGCAGCCAGGGCTCAGGAGAGCCCCAGGCCGGTGGTCCTTCCTGCCTATTTGTGCCTAGTGGTGCTCCTTTCTGGGCAGAGCTTTGGAATGCTCAGAAACAACAGAAAACCAGACCCTCGCCATCAAGGCAAGGACCAGACAGGATGGGCCTGACCTCAGGAGCAGGAGAGGGAAGAAGACTGTTCAGAAATTCAGATCTTTGGGGGCCCCTGGAGCCCTAGCCTTGGCCTGGCCAACCCAGAGACTGCCACCCATGAAACTCAAGTTGCTATCCAGGCCTGCAGGGCACACCACTGAGG